CTCCTGAATACTTTTGCCATCCATGTTGTTTTCTAATTTTCTTTTCTTTTTTTACATTTCAGCATTTAATTTGTGTTTAATTCATTTTCACATATGGTGCAATTATTGATAAAATTTTATTTTCTTCTCAGTGAATATAAATTTGTACCTTTGCATGCTATTAAGGATATATAACCTTTTCTACATTGAGACCATTTTGCCACATTTTAAATAAAAAACATATGCTGAGCTCTTTTTCTAGTTTTCTTATCTTGTTCAGTTATTATTTTTATTTTTTTATTCCCTTGGTCACTATAATTAATTGATCAGTATAATGTATGATCTGATACCTGGGAAGAAAAATGCCTGTAACTATTTTTACTTGACTGTACAGAGAACATTTATCCTTACCTAAGAATATTTAAAAAAAATCACTAACAACTCTGCTGGGATTTTAATTGGAATCGCTTAAGTTGATATGCTATTTTTACAATTAAGATTTTAATAATACAGTTTATATATATATAAGAAAATAGATAATATTTACATTGCTCAGACATCAATTTCACATTCATCAACTAGATTTTATATAGGTCATATTCTTTTATTACAAGATTTTCTAAATTTAAAATATCATATTATGTCATATGTATTATTTCCTTTTCATATGAGCTTATTGCTAAAATAGAAAATCATTTAAATTAAAATACTCCACTAATATCTAGTCACATTTAAAACTTTCATTTTAATTACAGCTATTATTTAACTAAGTAAGCATGTTAACAGCAAAGCAAGATTTATTTTCTCTTTTTAGTGATTGTTCCATTTTAAAAAATCTCAATATATACTGGTAAGAATGTTTAAATTAAGTGAAGGAATAATGGCAATGGAAGCAATTTCCATGTAGATCTTGATAATAATTGAAATTAATATTTCCTTATAGTTTATTTCCATTCCATTTTATCTAGAATTTTTCTAGTATTTGACCATTTAGAGGATCATATATTTGTTTTTCAACTTTGTTGATGTAATGAATTTAGTAACAGACTTACTGATATTAATCAAATTTTTACCTTCATAAAGCAAATTATATTTAGTCATAGAGTATTATTTTAATTTTGACTCCTTTGGAATCAAACATTAAATTATTTAATATTTATTCATACTGTTGATCTAAAATACTTGGTCAAAAGTAACTATGAGGACAATTCTGTCTGCTGCATGGGCAATAAATTATGGGGACAGGGCAGAAGCACAGGAAACAAATAGGAGTCTGTTGGAATTGTCTTTGTGAGAGATGGGAAGGCTTGGAAGAGATGAAGAGAAGAGGGTGGATTTTGGATTGATATTAATTGCATAAGGAGACAATTATTTTAAGTATGTAGACTGGGCATGCCCTATAGAAGAGGAGAGTCCCATGTTCCCAAGCAACTGCAAGGATGTAGTTGACTGTTAATGAATGGGGAAAGATGCAACTAGGACAGATTACAGGTTGAACTCATGATTGGGAGGTCCTTGACAAAGAATCTTGGCAAAGCTTCCATTTAAGCAGCATCTCCTCAACATATACAGTAGTTGCCTTATGGTAAATGTAACAGAAACATTGTAAACCTGTTGATGTTTATATATTAAATGAAGTTTGATTTTAAATATAGACCATATACATAAATTCTCACTCTCATCAACAACACTTACCAGGACATTGAGAAGTTGTGAAGAATGAAGATAATTTTGGTTGAGCAGGCTTGTCATGCACATTACAATACGTTTAGTAGCATTCCATATTGCATAGATTAAAATGTACATATTCATGCAAAAGAAATTGGATGAGCCAAGTGAACTGCTGAGATCCAGTGAAAGTCTTGATAGATTAATGATATTTAAATCTTATGTATGTAGATTCTTACAGGTACTTTTATCTACAAAATCTAAATCCAGTTCATGTTAAATCAATTTAAAAGGTAGAATATTTAATAATATAGTTATCATTAGAAATAAAAACAGGCACATTTGAAATATATGCTAAACTTTCACCTTATTTTGAATAAGCAAGGGTTACTTAAGTAATTGACTTCTTAACATCTTTAGATATTAGTGGAAGTGGTAAGAGGCTGTAAATTCTGTTTGCCATGTACATGCCATTTATAATTGAGTGCATCATATTGGAAATAATTTTTAATATTTATATTCATATTATATGTGTCTTAAATTTTTATTTTACCTCTCATTTCCTTCCCAGTCAGTGGAAATTCACTTCTCAGATAAGTTTGGGACCATTAGTTGGTAAAGTAATTTTAAAAGTGGCTTGAAGAAAGGAATAAAAATAGTTACTTTTAACCATTATATTTTGGTTTAAAATATATGCATGTACTTACTTACCAACATTTTTATAGATACAATAATTCAGAAAAAAAAAGAAAAATCACCTATTGTTACATTTTTTTTTAAATGAAACGAACTTAAGGGGATTGTTAAAGAAGTGTGAATGTATCTTTGTGCTAGATTAAACATGGGTGCTGAAATAGCTATAAGGCAGAAACAATATTTGCTTAAGAAAATGTCTAAAGTAGGCAAAAACTCTTTATAGACAACTTGTACCACAAACTAGGAGGAATCATAGAATTGTTATTACTCAGCCTAAGAGAAGTTCTGACAAGAAAAGTATTGTGAATACTTTAGAAAGACTATTTAAGAGAGTTTAAAAAAAAAAGTTGACTAAGTTATAAATGAATAATATCAAAGGGCAACTGAATACTTATATTTATTAGAAAGCTCACATTCTTGTGTCTATAAATCTATCTATATATGTAAATTTACTTCCCATATAAGCTTGGGACCATTAGTTGGTAAAATAATTTTAAAAGCAGGCTAAAGAAAGGAATAAAAATAATTACTTTTAACCATTATATTTTGATTTTACATATATGCATTCTAACGCATTCTAATGTATTTAATTTTTTTGGTTTTTATTTTTTTAGCCTTGTTACAACAAGGCCTCAAAAAGTTGGTTTCAGACTTACAGTTGTTCCTCTCCATGGAATCTTTAGTAAAAGGCAAAAGATTTATGTGATCTGAAAAGAAACCAGAATATCTAATGTATTTAGTTTTAAATATATGCTTTGTAATTAATATAAGTATAGAGTTGCACTTTGATATATTAGTTTATAACTTAATCACTAATTTTTTTAAAAACCACACTTGAATAGTCTTTTTAAAGCATCCCCAGACAAAATGCATGTGTCTAGGGAAGCTGGCTTTTAACTTTTTTTGGAAAGGAGCTTCTATTTAAATTTTGAGTAGCCAAGGGAGTGGACAATGTTAAATACTATAAACTGCTCGATATTTTCTGGACCTTCTAGTACCATCTAAGTATATACATATAAATACATGTACATTTATATATATAGTTATGTGTATGTGTGTTATATATACATATGGTTATATATGTGTATATAAAATCATGTATGTCACCTTGTTCCTAGGGAAGACTAAGGCTGAAAATCACATTCTATTCTCCTGCAAATTGTCATAGGCAAAGTGTTTCTGGAACTGATATCTAGCAGCAATTTCCTGACTGAGCTAAGGTGGTTTCTTTAACTTTTAACATTGGCATTGTCTAGAAACAGCAGCTGTAGTGATTCTTCTTTGAGGCAGAGTCTGATCAAGATAGAAACAGCATCTTTCCTGGTGCTCCCTTCTACATGGAACTCTGGGAGTCATCTCGAATACTTATCTTGACGTCTGTTTCTTCAACCTTTCCAATGAATCTTTAGCTAGAGCCCCCCAAGTGATGGACCATGGCATGCTAGTGAATTACACATGGGTTATGGATGGCTTATTAATGATTGCTTTCATTTATTCAGTGGGAGCAGGTCAGAGTCACTGAGACAGGCTTTCTTGGGAATGAGAAGCCTAAATATTCCATGTAAAGGCCAATGTAAGCCACTTAGTTAAATGTAATAAAGACCTTTCTGCTAAAACCAGGTAGAATAGGTTTTGTTTTGTTTTGTTTTTTCATGTCAGTGGTATTAACACAGTGGCCATTCTGGAACATCCCTGACTTAACCTGCATTCTCCAGAAACTAAATCAGAGGACTTTTTTGTGATATTGCTTCATTTGAGAGTACAGGCCTCAGGAGAGGACAGACTGAAGGAAGTGAGGAGGGAGAGATTATGAGGACTTGTTATTACGGTAGTCTGCCTAAAGTGTGACTCATTTCTTGATCTGGAACAACCTCCAAGAAACAATTTAAACTGTTTTAGGACAACCTGTGTTGAGGGAAAACGTGGGGAGAAATTTGTCATGAGCTTCTTATTTCCCATGGTGAAAGCTTTGACCAGAAAGTGTTAAATTCCTGTCCTCAGAAGGTGTCGTGCGTGAGCCTTGAGTAGGGTCCAGTGGCATCAAAAGGGAAACTCTGGGTTGAAAGCAAAACATATGGCAAGAGTTTGAGATGAGGTACAAGCAGGTTGTGCCTGCAGAAGGTCAGTCAAAGCCATGCGAACCTGATCCATATGGGGGCAGGGGGGACAAGCAACAGACGAGGCTATGGAAGGTTCAGGTGGTGCATAAGAGACACTCTTGTCATGCTGACTTCACAAAGCTGGCAGTTTTGCATGAAATAAACTTCCCTTCAATCTTATCAATTTCTACTGGCGCTGTGGGATTCATCTTAGACATTACTTTCTTACAGAAGCCTTCCGTGACTCTCCCTCTTCTTCAGTGGGGAAGTCTCATGCTGTAATGGCTTCTCCGACTATTATGTCCTCTCCTCTCCTCTATATGTCCTAAGCACATGAAATAATTTGTGTTAATATGTGCAGTTATAAGACTATTTAATATAAATCTCCTTCTCTAGCTTAACTATCCTTGCAGACAGAGACCAGTTTTCTTTAATAATATATCATCCATACCATGAAGTGTGTATAGAATTTAGTAGATACATTTAATGAATATTTGTTAAAATAATGGATGATTTATTCTTACAACAAGATAAATTAACAGTTTTCACTCTGTACAGTTTCAGGACAGTTATAGAGATAAGGCGTGACTGGACAAATGATTCACTGTTCACAGGTAAATCCTGACAATCACATAGCACTTTTTGTTGTCTTACAAAAAATAAAGTTTTCCCACACAAATATTTACAGGCTATCAGTATGTTAATGGATATTTTGTTAGCAAAAAGAATGTTGTTGGGTAACCTTTTATCAAAGGTCCTTGCTGATACTCTTCAAGTTCAAAGAACAGAACTAACATAATATATATTATTAATTCATACAAAAGAATAAAAATGTTAATTTATTTTCACTTGAATAGGAACTGTTATTGGAATTAATTACCTAGCTGTAGCTGAAAAAATGTAAAGTTGTCCTTGTAATCATTAAATAAATCTTAATGTTGAAAATATTACATACAGATTATATAGGGGAAAGTATTATATTTATGAAGTATATATAAGATAGATAGATAGATAGATAGATAGATAGATAGATAGGAAGAAAGAAAGAAAGATAGATTGACAGATAGATATAGATAGATATCAAAGTGTTGAGTTGGAATCCTGGTTCTAAAACATGTTAGTTTTTTCACTTTGATCATCATTTTTTTTCTTACAGGAAATTGTCATTGCTGTATTTCAGGACTCTTAAGATGCCATATAGTTTAAGATATATCATTTGTTTATGTGCTATTAACAATAACAAAAATAACCCAACAATTACACAATGGCATTCCATCTGTTGTAAAGTGAATCCTGATTTTAGAGAGGCTAAAATAAAAAAGCAAGTAAAAAATAATTAATTTACTTAAAATTGATGAAGTAGAATGGGTTTTGTGAAGATTAAATGAATAATGAATGCATAATGCTAACACAAGCCTGAGATATCAGAACTCAAATATGTAATTGGTACAAAAATCTGGAAATGAATACTATTTTATTAATAAGTGGAAACATAATAAAGCCCCTCTAACTGTTTTTTGTTCTATATCGTCTATTTGCAAAGGTTTTCTTGATAACTGGGTGCAGCAAGCGCTGGTATAATCGTTTTTGTTTTTGATCATTTAATTTCATTTGTCCTTTCCAATTCATTTGGTTTCAAAACTCAATTGTAATGTTTTTGACTTAACAATCAAGGGAAGTAAAAATGACTAAAATGAAAACATTCTCTAAATAGGTTTGCAATCCAAATGTGTCTAACTTAGTTTGATCTATAAGTTCATTCATTATGTTGAAATCATTTGCTTATTTAAATAGATCACTCATGCTTATACTCTTGATTCTTGCTTGTCATTTACACTTCTAACTAACTATCGTATTTGTCAAATACTTTCAAGATTCAGTCATGGGACACAATCTTAACTTTGGTGATCACGTGTATATTGTCTAGATACATGCATTTTTAAAAATAAGCTAGCATCTAAATTAAATAACTCACCATATATGATTTTGTGAAGTGTTTATTTTTGTAGTTGTCGAGTTTTACAAATCAAATAGGTTTTAACTTATTGTAATAGCATAGACTGACTTACCTACACTACAATAAATTAATTTTGTTATGCAAATCTTTTTCATAAGATATGAAATGTCTGCACATAACACTTTCTGAGTTAGCAATAAAACAAGATTGATCTCCGGTTCCTTTAAGCGCCAACAAGAATAACCTTAGGTGCCAAAAATAATACCTGGTTTTATGTTTTATATTTGCTTAGACACTTTCATGCTATAGGTCAATTCTTAATTATCTAGTTCTCCTTTTACTTTTTATTTCTGTCTCTTCTCCTCTAACTGTAGAAAGTGAACAAAATATTTGCCATTAAAACAAAATTCTGCAAGATAATATATAAATGCAATAGTATGATTTCTATACTAACAACCACAAAAATATATTTGCAGTTATAATAAAAAGGTTAGCCTCTTTTGGAGTTATTAAAAAGTTTGATTAGTTATTATTAGTATACATAAGGAAAGAATGACAGCTTTCCATAAAAATGTGAGTAATGAAAAATCAGAATCTTTATATTTTTAGAATGTCTGCATGCTCTGCAGAGATTACCTTATTCTAAATACCCATTTTTCAAATACATAAGTAAACAAATTGTGAATGTCGGAAATCAAATATCATCTCTAAATTTCCATTAACTCTTCCTTGATAAAAACACGAAATTATTTAGCTGGGCACACAAACCCTTTAAATCAAGAACATATGTCCCAGTCTCCCCTGTCGCTAAGTATGGACAAATTACTACTGTGATTTCCTTTAAGCAGATATGTTCAAGTGACATCAAAGAAGTGTCTTTACAATGAGAAGGATATTGCATTTTTTCCTCCTTCCTTCTTTCTAGAACACAGAGCACAGTACTCATGCACTGCATGCTGACTACGGAGGATCAGCAAAGTATAATGTCCTAGGTCCCCAAAACTGTGCTCCACATCAACTAAGGACTAACTCCTATCTAGAGACAGAAATAAACTGGATTGTTTTTTTCTTTTTCGTTTTTTGATAAGTCAGTTTATTTGGGGTTTTCTATCACTCACATCTCCTAATATTTATAGAGAGGCTGACAGCTCTTTTGTTATTACACACAAAATTTATTTTTAAATGGATAACTAGAAATATTTGAATTATACTGCCTTTGTCCAATTTTCTACCCTCACATTTTTGTTCTTTAAAAATCTACTATCTATTTAGTTTTGCCTAGGATGTAGAAAGCTACAAAGAGGTATCACTCCTCTGACAATAAGCAAATAAAGACAAATGAAACAGAAAACCTAACTTTTCTTGGAACCGTCAAAGAACTAAGGTTCCAGAACAACCAATAGCCTGGAATATAAGAAGGAAACAGATACTTCCAAGTGAAGATATGATGTGAACACTGGCTTACAAGTGGCAAAGCACACAAGAATGAGACACAGGGAAATACAGAAGTGAGCAAAAATAATTAAAGAAGATTTTCCAGTGAATAGCGTAAGTGTAGGGAGGCATGACAGTTACAGAAATTCTGAGTAGTAACAGAGATATCTGGAATATCTCCAAATATTTGGAACTTAAACAAAAACAGTTGTTAAAATCAAGGGCCAAAGAATAAGTCACACAACAAATGAGAACATATTTTTGGATTAAATTACATTGAAATGCAATATGCCAAAATCTGTACAATGCAGCTAAAACAATACTTAAGACATTTATTGCATTGGATACTTAGAAGAGCAGTCTTAAGTCATGACCTAGTTTTCTACCTTTAGATCCTGGAAAGAGAAGAGCAAAATATACCTGAAGCAAGTGGAAAGAAGGAAATAATGAGGTCAATGACTTGAAATGGTAAAACAATGGAGAAAATAAAACTGACAGCCCCTTGATCTTCCTTCCACTTACAGATAAAATGATTTCTAAGAATCTGGATATTAGAGACAATATATCACATTTTGGTATGTTGCTCTAACTTATGCACTGAGTGACTCATAAGGGACGAAGCAGGAGAAGGCCAGGTTTTCTAGGCTACAGAACAATAGTGTTTGCAGTGTCTTCCATTTAGGAGAACCAGGAGTTATCAATAACCATAAGCAATTGTAATAGTAATGAATATAGTTTATAAATACATATATAATCATTTATTATTTTGAGATATATGCAATGCTTAATCATTTTACTATTCCCTGATAGTATAAGATGTACGTTAAAGATTAGCTTTATAATTTTGTTATGTTATAGGATACTAAGTAAGAATTTGAACTAGAGGAGCAATGAATGTCATCTAAAGTTTATGTGATCTTTCTTATTGCAGAGAGGGTGAGTGAATCTTTATAAAATGTATCATTTTAGAATGCTGCAAATACATTGTTAGTACGGCTTTTGAAGTAAAAGTACATACGGAAGTGTGTATATGGTGCTCAAAGAGATGGTCTGCGGAGAGTATCATCTGGTTGTTTAATTCATTCTCTATAGTGCTTTCCATTACTGAAAAGACATTGTGAAAATTAAGATCCCACAAATTACATGACTTCTGGTGATATTTCACAACTAAGGAAAAGTCTACCTTCCTGCTGTTCTTTCAGAAGTCAGAGGGAAATTCCTGTTGCGAGGAAACACCCAGGGTTGGACTCAGCACTGCGGGTATTTAGAAGCCCTGGCCAGGGCAGCCGCTTGGGTACACAGTGCGTCTCGGACATCAGCATCTCCTGCGCAGCTCATGGCGCTTTCCCTTCCAGCCATCTTAGTGAATTTGTGAACTCCCAATTATAGTAGATCCTTTCTCTTTAAATTCCTAGAGTGGATATTTCTTACCCTAATCCCATCTCCTCATCTCTAAATTCAATTCTGCCTTCACCTGCACCCTGTGGTTCAAGTACTAGCCTTTTCTGAAGATCTAGTAGTCTTTCATGGCTCAAGTTTTAGCACATGTCATTTTAACTGCATCAATACCTCTTTTTACCACATGGAAAAATATATTCTCACTCTTAACACAAAAAATTTGTGAAGCTTTCCTGTGAGGTGCCATTTGATCTTTGATGTTCACGTGGTTGTTTTTATGCATCCATATAGCACTTATCCATCTAGTGCTATCATTTTTTGTTGAAACTTCTTCCTTATATTAACTTGCAAATTTCTTCAGAAAAAAAATGCCTTTACCTAATTAGATTTTTATCTTTGAATATCTAGCATAGCTCCTGTGTGGCATATAATAATTACTCAGCATTCAGTATTTTCTTTCTATGTGTATTAGAAAGGATATGATTTCTAAGTCTATGAATAAGTTTTAAATAGTATGTATATGATTGTCTTAACTCTTTTTAAAAATTGTTACTGTATTTTACTTCTTTATTATTTACCTCTCATGTTATTATCATTCTACCATAGCCAGTTTGGTATTACCTAAAATTAAGAATTGGATTAAAGACTTCTAATTAAAAAAATTGGAAAGAAAACAGATGCTTCAAATTACAATGAATTTCTAATTCCAGTTAGTTCACATGGCTGGAATGCTATATAAGTGTTAAGGGGTAGCTGGGGTAGTTGTTTGAAAATGGAAAATAACCAGAGTATGCTAGTTTTAGTTACAGGTAGGAGGGACTCATTCATCTGGGGATAGGTTATCTTCTGCCAAAAGCCAGTGAAATTTTTAAGCCCTGACCCACTGAAGCCACGGGTGACATTTATGGACAACCACAGGAAATACTGATAGACATTTTGTAAAAACTGGACAGGAGCCACAACTCCAGCATGTTCGCAGGTGTGTGAAATAGCAAATATGTAAAGGAAATAACTGGAGCAACAATCTTGCATTTAATGGACACTCTATGCCTCCGAGACCCTAAATTGACAAAGTGCATACATTCAAATAGTATTTGATTTATTTCTCAGTCAGGAGCTGTTGAGTGGGGCTCACCAAGAGGTCATTTATTTTTTTCTTCATGGTGTCAGAATAAAAGGTAGTTGGGTCTTTTTCTTCCAGTAAAGTTTTGTAGGTCAAGAAAGGTGAACTCCAGAAGACTGTCTGACAGCAAGAACTCAAGGTTCATTTCAAGCTAGATGTCCATGGGATCCCAATTGCAACAAATATGAAATAAGCTTTGAGAGTCAAAATGCAAAGCCGAGGAGGGTTTGAGAACCAAGGAGGATTAGAACAAGGAGAATTTATCCAGGTCATAAAATAGTTTGTCACTGTGGATGAACTAAGCAAAAAGTGGGTTTTGCAATGATTGATAAATCCGTTTATG